AATTTGTAACCAATTGTATTAGATTGGTCCAAAAGACTTGCAACAAATTACATTAAAGGCAAAAGTCAGGCTCGTGTTTGGGCATTATGGCGCCTGAAATTGAGTGTAGAGATGGGAGGTGGAACGACAGTGAAGAAAAAACGCAAAGAAAACCGTCGACAAGACCGAAATCGAAACCCCTTCCCTTCTAGCAGTGAAGGAGGCTTGCTCGGGGGAGAGCCACGTCCAAACGAGTTTTCCGGATATGCCAGCCGTTCCATCGGTTGATACGGCAATCAACCTAGCTGATCTCACACGTTAGGCCAGCCACGCACCACATCCCGCGGTGGGCGGGACCAGCTGATGTAACGAACCCATCGCTGTAAGTAGTAGGCCAGAGGCCTTGACGGCGCGCAATCTCGAGTCAGGAGTGTGGCATCACCCCTCTGAGCGCATTCCTGGAAATATTAGTGATGGAAAGGCCTTCTATGGTCACCTAATCCTGACTCGTGGCTTTAAGTAGGGGATTACATAGTCGTCAAGGGTAATATACAATGATGCCATCACGAAACTTCGATATGCCAAAGCCTGCGAGCTACCCAGTAGTGGTTGGCTTATTTCAATAGCTGCCCTTCACTTTGCGGACAGACAAACAGGTGCACCAACAGACATGCATGTGTTCATGCATATGCAGCGACACACAGCAGTTTGTTTATTAGAAGGATATTAAAAATCGGGGGTCATTTGAATGGTAGGTAAGATAAACGGTTACTTCCCATAGTTTTAATCAGCAGCTCTTTTTGTAATCAAGTCTGCTTCAAATTTGACCTGAGTTGAGATAGTTTGCCTAAGCAGGATTGGTGCTAGGGAAAGCGATGTCAAATCGAATCTTGGACAGTTCTCGACAAGTTGCAATTTTTAACTGGTGAATCAACAATATAGCTCATGCAAGTGAAGTTTTATTCGCATTTAATTAAATAAATCAGCTATGAACTGATGAGAAGTAGCTTAATCTTTTTTGATTTCTGGTTTTACTTCTTCTTTCTTGTCTACAACAAGTACAGCTTGCGTCTCGATTTTCGTAACTGCGTCGGCAGCGTGGGCTCTCGGCTTTTGCCGTGGTAGTTTCCTTGACTTCCTCGGCTTTTAGCCTTGGTGACCTCCTCGACTTTAGCCTTGGTGGTCTCCTCGGCACGGGCTGCGGTGGTCTGCTCGACCTTCACGCTGGTTGTCGACTCGGCTTTCACGCAGTAGTCTCCTCTGCTCTATCACCATGGGTGCTTATCAGCCCTTCAACAGTGTGGTCTCCGCAGGCTTATCACGTGGCGGTATTCTCCGACTTTCGTTCTTTCTGGCTTCTTCTAAAAGAAATTTACAGGCGTTTGCTTTTCTTTCACTAAGGGAGAAGTTTGGAAAGAAAATTTGTAAGTTCTCTTGGCCCCTCTTCCCTTTCACCTAAATCAATTGAATTAGGTGTCAAACCCTGTGAAAAGTGGAAGTTATCGTACCGTGATAGTATTTTCACGCTTCACAAAAGTATCTTGAGACAAATATTCTGGATGAGAAAAAATAGGACCAAGAATGCACTCGAAGCTAACTTCTCTACGTTTTTTGAAAAGTGTGCTGTAAGAGAACTGGTCATCTAGTCTTTCCCATTTCTTCGCTAAAATTCCACTTCTTCAAAAACAGATTGAAATGAAAGATTTTACATCCACCGGCTTTTTTTTGTAAATCACTATGCTTCGCTTTTATGTTGCTATCTTGTTAGTTCACCTGCAGTTTCACTTCGAGACGGAACACGGCGCAGTGGACATCGTCGACTTGGACTCGGCAGAAGTTGTCGGTATCAGCAATGAATTGAGGTTCTAAAAAATACTCCGTCTAGTTGAAGATATTATTTTAATTGTCTCTTATAATTTCAAATAATCAAGCTTGTAGATCGACCATACCTTGTCGCTGCAAAGTACAGCGTAATCGTGATGTTCCTTGAGTTTCTCGCGAAGGGCAGCCAAGCTGGTGGCGACGTCCTTCTTCACGTTCTGAAAGAGCGCGTTCTTGAAAAACCAGCCATTTTTGTTCAGAAAAGGAGTTTTTTTTTAGGAAAAATGGATGAATAGTAAGCCTTGTAGTAAAGAATTTTGAAGGCGAAGTGAGCACACTGGGTCTTCGGAATGAACTGCAGGTATTTTTAAGTGCAAAATGTCACATGGGTACAAATCAGAGCGAAAGCTGCACTACAAGCGTTGAAGCAAATTTCGCTACCCCCAAATAAGAGATTCAGCAACTTCCAAGGAGACCACCACTGCCTATAGGACTGTTCTTCGTCTAGATGTAAAAAAGGGCAGTACTACTGTTCAGAACTTATATAAGTCAATAGTAGTAAATAGTGTTTTCAGCAGCAAAGAAAGTTGCGCTCAGTTTTCTTCTTTAATTTTAGGGTGAGTAATGGTAGCAAAGCTACTCAGCCGCCTGGCATACCTCACTGAGAAGGATTCGCAGCTCCTCGCTGTTGCACTTGTGAGCATCTTCGTGCGAGACAACATTGGCGGCTTCCCTCTTCTTACGTCCACATCCTGAAATAAGAATCTTTTGAAGCTGTGGCCGAGTTGCAAGAAGCGTGAAATTCATAATCGCTGGGTTCCAGTTAATTTGCACTCATCATAGTAAGAAATGGCTCAGTGATAAGAAATTAATAGTTCAATCCGTCACCTCCACATCCACCTCCGCATCCGCCGCCGCCGCCGTACGATGGCTGAGCATATCCTCCGCCACCGTATGATTGTTGGGCATATCCTCCACCTATAATTATCAGTATGTAACATATACTAGTACAATAGCTACAACGCAATAGCTACACGCTTAGATAACAATTATTTTCAATTTTCAAACCGTAACCATATGATGCTGGCGGTTAGTTGTACTCTGATACCTGGGATATCCTCCACCTAATGGCTTTTAAAACATCAATGTAGAACGAACTCAGAAAAAGAAATCTTGAAATAAACATCTAGTCAGAGATACCAATTTCTGCCTGAATAATAGTCAACTAAGAATCGTTGATGAGGGTATCCTTTTCATCCATTCGTGCTCAGAAACTTCGAGCGCTTCCAAAAAAGGGGTAGACGTTATAAACGCTGCCGGCCGTCTGCTGTGGCACTTGATCGCTATCCTCTTTGACTATTTTATTGAAATTGATTCCCACACGGGTGCCAATATGTCTCCAGTAGGTACTGTCGCAGAACACCGTAGCCTAGTGGACGTCGTCAAGTGAAATGAAACTCCTCTACTTTCACTCAGATAGAGTTTTGGTGAAGAAGATTTAGCTCGACCCGATTTCCTTGTATTGCGAAATAGAAAAAATGATTCACCTCCACCACATCCACCTCCGCAACCGCCACCGCCGCCATATGCTGGTTGAGCGTATGATTGTTGGGCATATCCTCCGCCATATGAGGCTCCACCTATAATCATTAGTATGTACCATACTATTAGTACATTAGCTACAATGCAGGGGCTTAGATAACAATTATTTTCAATTTTCAAACTGTAACCATATAATGCTGGCGGTTAGTTGTACTCTTATAGCAGGAATATCCTCCACCTAATGGCTTTTAAGACATCAATGTAGAATGAACTCAGAAAAAGAAATTTTGAAATAAACATCTAGTCAGAGATAATAATTTCTACAGAATGGTGCGCTGAATAATTACGTAACAACTACGGTGCTGGGTGCATAATTTCTGACAAAGCACCTCCAACAAGAATAAGCTCTCCAAGCTGACTTCCTAAAAATGCTGGAAGTTGGGCCGACTGATGGAATCAAGTAACCTTCGTCCTCCCAGTTATTCCTATTTGACGTATTCCTACTTATATTCTATTCACATTCTGGGTATCATAGTAGAGAGATTGCTAACCTCCTCCACATCCTCCTCCACAACCACCACCGCCGCCGTATGCTGGCTGGGCATATCCTCCACCATATGATCCTCCGCCGTATCCGCCTGAAAATTTATTATATCCAATCCGCTATCAATAATCTATTAATCGGCGTTTAGGACAACTATCACTGCTTGCTCTGGCAAGTCACGGACAGAGATTCATTGGTATCTGCGACGTATCATGCCCCCCATTTCGGCAAGGACGGTGAAAACGAGTTCTTTATCCCGAGAAGATTTTTTTCATACAGCCAATTTATAGCTGCGTTCTTGTGAAGGGATATATAGAGAGAGCCCTTGTGATCCTTCTCTCGCACTATTATTGCATAATTTTGTTCCTGTAAATTAAACAGAAGCGAAAAATTACCAACCTCCTCCTCCTCCGCATGGGGATGGGCAGCATGGTTGAGGTTGTTGACAGCCTGAAAAAGTAGCATTATTTTACTGTTTGATTTATAAACGCTGTTCTACAAAATGAGTTCTTATTTTTTAAGTGAGTTATTTGGTTCCATTTCATTGCTGTCTGAGTTTCAGCTGGTTTATTTTCTTGCCCTTTCTCGTAGATATCACCAAAATCATGATAATCCCCTTTTCAAATATGCAGATCGTGCTACGGTTTCAAAAAATTAGCGGAAATTGCTCAACAGTAATAACTGTATGAACTCACAGCACTGGCTTTCCGCCCATCATGGGAAAAAAGATAGCCGTCGAGGTAGCGCAAAGCAGCAGAGATAGAAAGACTTGCCTCATTCTAAACAAAAATAGCATTTATCATGGAGACCAGAATTTGACTCAAATCATTGATCAAATTTCGCAGAAAAAGTTCACGTTCTGATGATAAAGTCTCCACTTCATAACGATTCAATGGTAAAGATGAACAGAAATTAATAAGAGCGGCTACTTAGCAAGCGACTGGTGATATGTGCTAATCGGCTGCTTTTATAGCAAGGTACGATCTGCCAGCCCGTTTCTTTGTTTGTACCAGTAGCGGGATCGCGGCGAACCAGCTCGCGAAGGCTTGCGTTAGCGCCTTGGTAAACGCCTTTCACGGATAGTTTATGACTTGCAGTGAATCCGAGAAATGCTTGACAATCACGGTGATGACTAAGTTTTCCTGTAGCTGTCTAAATATGCGGGTGAATAGTCCTAGCTCAAACTTTTTCAGCTACCCTCATTGGAGTTTATTTTGTGAACGGATGCGGCACGCATTCTACTTCCATTTGTACATTCGTAGTGGCGTTTGAATGCGATGTGGCCTATACAATGACTTGCGGGGGCCAGCCGATGTACAAGTCAGTGTTTTTATCCTCCCAGACAAGTCTGGTACCAATTAACCGGAGGGATGGAAGGCTTGGTTGGCCCGGGCACGACCCAGGATTTGATCCCCGGACCGCTCGCGTGGTAAGCGTGCCACTTGCCACTACACCACGTCCGCCCCTATTCTTCTGAATCTTTAGCTTTCTGAATATGTAGATAGCGAAAAAAAAGAAATACTTTCTTTAGGTTCTACACGTCTCATGTAGACAAAAGAAAAAAAGCAAAAAAAAAGCAAAAGCTAAACATTCGGCTCTGATCAAACTCCTATTATATCTGCCACAGAATCTAGTTCCGTTGTGAATCAATGACACTTGAACGCTTTGACCTGTGCAGGTGCTTGCGGTTGGGTTTGACTGTAAGCTCAATTATATTTGGTTGTCCCAAAAGTTCATGCCATTTTCGAACACTTTTTGAGTGAACTTTATCTCAACAAAAAGCAATATCCGTCCAATATGTATATGAACCGTCGCTATCAGTGACTTGTTGCCAACGATCCACCAGAGTGTCGACGCCGTGCTCCAAGAAGGTCGGCAGTTTCAAACCGGAAAAGACAGTGAGGTCGATTTCGGGCTCCTTTTTTGAATCGTATTTTTTGCCCGTAAGATGATTCATTAGCAAGCTGGCCTCGGAAGGAGGATAATCACCACTGCGCTGTGGACTGGCATTCCTCAACTAAGCTCCGAAATCCAGAGCCGTGACATTTCCCGAAACACGTAGTCTCGGCTGTCGTGGAGAGGACCTACTTTATTGATTTTTTTTGCGAAATAGTTGGAGTTTTCGCCATGCTTCCAGCTTGATTAAAGAAGACCTAGGCTGTTACAACGCCAAAGCTGTGGAGAAGTTCTCAGGTGTCTTTCGAGATTTGCTCCCCATACGTGAGCCAACACGGCTTGCTGTATTTGACAGTTTTTCAACCCCTTTTGATCGATCTAGCCGCTGATGCTTTCGCAGGTCATATAGCATAAAGCAACCACTTTTCATCAGCAATAGCGCCGTGTCAAAGCTATCACGGGGGGGATAATAGGACAATATGTTGACTAGAACCTCCGTTGCGCTTTAGTGCATTAATTGGTAAGATTCATGCGAATCTTCTTGTCCAAGCTCTAATGTATTCTAGGAAGAGTACAGACCTCTACAAACCGTGCACCTATAATCTGACAAGGGAAGGATACCAAGTCGAAGTGGCCATCCGTAATGAAACCCTATACTCAGAGATGTGTTTTCGGACGCTGATCTCGAATCCACTCTCCAAATTTGCGAAACGATTCTCTGAAAAGTGTTACGGAGGTTGTTTCGAATGAAAGCCCACTGTAAGAGACCCCGGCAGAGCTCGGCTTCCAGCGGCGGCTTGGCCTAGTGGTAGTGTTGGCGGCTTCCAGTGGTGAGACCATGGATGGGATCTTGCTGGGCATGGTCTTTTTGCGTTTTTGTAATTAAGTCTAATTTAAATATAAGAAAATAATTCAGTGTTGAAATTTTCACTGCATCCAAAGCTCACGCATGGTTTTAGGGGTTTGTTTAACGCATTCCACTTTTTCGTAATGTTTCGACCCTTGCTGAGGTGTTTCTACGCCACGGAAGTGACGTAATCCATACGACGTGTAAAATTTGCTCACACGGACCAATACTGATCATTTGAAGGCTACCTGTAAAGGTAGACATTTGAACCCTAATTTCAAACACATCGATCAATGGAGTTCAAGTGTCGCTTGCTAGGGCCAGTCTGCCGTTCCTGCTCTCACTGGCAGCGAGTCTGTGTACGTGTGAATAGTATCTCTCGATGTCTGTATCTAGTTGGAGGGCAACGAGCAAGAGAGCAGCAGGCATATCTCTTCACAGGATAATGACGGGTAAGTTCAATTCATATCCCTGATCGAGGGCTCCTGATAGGTGTGATTGAGTTTTATGACGCCACACAATTCAGCTTAGGTCAAAATTTAATTTTTGTGGACCTTATGTGTTGAAAGGGTTGGATCGACGCTGTGTCGTGACACGAATTATCGCGTCTGCTCTGGCACGAAATTGCTTTACGCGTGCGCTATGGGTGTCAGAGGCGGTCACTTGCAAATGACGCGCACAGTGCTCGAAGCTCTTCGCCAGCTCTGTTTACTTGTGCTATAGGCAATCGCTGATAACTTAGCATGGATAAGAGTCCCTTAAACAACGTTCACAAGAAAAGCAAAAGTGAGAACTCGCCAAGAACTCGAACTCACGACCTCTCGTTCGTTGAGCCGCACCGCTGCCACTGCACTATCTCGCTTCATAACTACGTTCAAAGAGTCGTTTCGCAGATTTGGAGAGGTAAGGTCCAAAACACATCTATTGGTGTATGTCTCGAACAAATGCCACTCGACTTGTACTACGTTGTGAGTGTGTTTCACATAGCAAAATAACTTTAGCGGGTTGCCTTCAATGAAGAGTACAGCAGGTGCAAGTCGCACAGCGAATACCTTTCCAGGTCAGGATTTCCTCTAGGCTGCAGTCTCCACAGAGAAGCAAAGTTCTAAAAAAGCAAAGCAGCTGAGAAGCGAAGTTTTTCACAATTTGATATCCGCATGGGATGACGACAAGAGGGGTCACAAGGAAAGTAAACTCGTTGAGGCTCGACCATTTGTTGGCTCATCGCTAGTAAAAAAAATCACAAATCATAAGTGCTGAAAAACAATGGACCCTCTTCATTTTCGTTTTAGTTGAACGAAAGCAAGCTAAGCTTGCTATGTGAGGTATTGTTCTCCACGCAGTGAGCTTTTCGACGACCTGACTTGGATGTTCAGAATCGCATGTATGAAATACGTTTTATGAGTGCCAAAAAAAGTGGCCCGAACTTATGGGACAACCTAATACATTGAGTGCGGTGGCTGTCCAATGTATATGTAGTTTGGGCTTACATTCTCATATGCTAGTCCAGCAGCAATTAGTCTACCTTCAAGGGCCGGAGGATGCTGCTTGTTGGACATGCAATATCAACCCACAGTCTGTAATGCGAATGTGCGCCTGGTTACAGAGACAGATACCCAGCCCGCATTAAAAATCATTAAACTAATCACCGTTAGTATTCGAATTCTAGCTGCGTACAAATTTTTCACCACTTCTGGCGGAGAATTGAATATGCCTTACCTCACGCTCGCAAAAGTTCTGTTAGTGATACATAGACTTATCACTATTTCAAATTTGATTGGCTTGAAGGGTGATTACATTAGGTATAGAAGGCGTATAGAGACTAGTGTGTCAATTCTACGCCAGTGGGAGAAAAAAGAAGAAACAGAAGTATAAATGAGTTCAGCGTAACGCGTTGCGCCAAATGCCAAACCACACTCCTATCGAGCTGCTCCACTTGTGCCGTAGCTGGCAACGCAGCTCGTCCAAATCACCAAGTGAACTTGTGTAGCGACCACTTTTTGCGCCGGTGCTTTAAGTCCATGCTCAACAACCAGCGCATCGTTCGTCGTAGAATCGTCCACCTTGCTCCCTTGGAGGATCAATGTGACTGCTATTCGCTGGTGATTGTCCCGAGGCGCTCCCCTTAGCTCGCTGCTATTTCAAGAACATAGGCAAGCGGCGAAAAAATATTTGGTTTTGATTCGAAGATTTTGCTTTTTTGCTAAACTTTAACCAACATTCATGGATCTTGCTCGAATTTGCATATATTTTGGAGGAAATCAGTCTTGTTGACCAGCATTGATTATTCATTGAAAAGAGTCTGAGGACTAAGAATTTTCATTGCAATTCACGAAATCAAATCGAATAATTAATATAATGTGCTTATAGTTCAGCAGAAAAGTCCACTATTCATGAACTAGCTTTTCCAGTGTGTTTTTGTGAAGTTGGTAATTCTTCAGATTATTCTAGAACTTCTTAAAATTCACATGAAACTCGGTCAATGAATGATTTTTTGCAAGGATTTTGGTACACAATGGCCCTGGGAGGGGGATACACGAAAGTTCGACACTGTCAACCAAGTTTTAGGCTACTTTACATTTACAAAGCCTAGCACATCTATAGTTGTCGTGGAAAAGTCTTGGATTTGGCAAGTCTTTTCAAAAATGTTTTTTTTTTAGTACAGCCAAATTGGATAGAATACACCACCATAATCGTTGAAACATTGCTCTTCAGCAGGCAG